AAGAATGTGTCAGACGTTTGCAGGAGGCCACTGAGGAACCGGAGGGTTTGGATTTGGGAGTGACCTGTGGGTGGGGGTGGGAAGAAGGCACCCACCTGTGCTAAGGATGCCCCCTTTGAGCCTCACAGCTCCCCTGTGAGGAAAGTTAGTGTCATACACACCTTTACTGAGGCTCTGAGAGCCAGCGTCTCTGAGCCGCGGCCACAGGACAGTTTGCTAGTCGGGAGTGGGATTTGGACTCTGGTCTGTGGGGCCCCCAAGCTTCCAGCTTGCGCAGTGGCTGAACACCAGAGTGCTGCTAGGAATGAAGGTGAGTCCACGGGGGCAGTGGCAGCATCCTAACTCCAGACTCCATTCTTTCCTGCTTCTTTCTCTTTTGTGAACCTTTTTACCTGCAAGTGGAGCAAAGAGTTCATCTGCTACTGTCCAGGTTCAAATCCCGATTCTCCTATTAACTAATTGTGTCAGCTTCAAGTGAGTCTTCTAATCCCTCTATGCCTCAGTTTCTTCACCTGTAAATGGGGGAAGGAGTAGGATCTATCTCATAGGGTTTGTTATAAAGACCCAAATATGAGAGGGGAACCCCCCAAATACGGGCATTACTTTTTGGAGGGTGGGCCTCTTGTACAGGCTTCCCCTGCTAGGTTAGTGTTTTAGGAACCCATCAGCATCAGTGTAGCAGCTAGTATTGTTGTGAGAGGCTGCCTTCAGCTTCAGTGAATCTTTTTTGGAGATTCTTGCAACTGTTTGCCCATTTCATGTGTGATTCACAAACGCATCTGCCACACTGAGTGTTCTGCAGTTTTTGACCAAAAACGGTATGGCCCCATGCCCTGCTCTCCCTGTTCACCTGATCTCGCCCTGAGTGACTTTTGTTTCTCCAGTGAAAAAAGTCCTCAAAAGGAAACGTTTTGCCAGTGTAGCAGAGGTGAAACAAAAAAATGACAGGAGCACTGAAAGACATCAGAATTGATGGGTTCAAAAACTTTTGAGCAGTGGAAAAAGTGTCTCGATGGATGTATTGAATCAAACGGAGAGAACTTTGAAGGGGAAGTTTAAACATGTAAGACTTTTACAACTTTTAATAAATAAATAAAAGATACACAACTTTTAATAAATAAATTCCATTTTGGGGGAATATAAATATATATAAATGAATATAGTCATGCGCTGCATAATGACAGACCCTGGCCATGACGGTGGTCCCATAGAATTGTAATCCTGTATTTTCACTATGCCGGTTCTATGTTTAGATACATAAATGCTCACCGTTGTGTTACAGTTGCCTACAGTACTCAGTACAGTCCCATGCTGCACAGGTTTGTGGCCTAGGAGCAACTATACCATGTAGCCTAGGTGTGGAGTAGGCACTACCTTCCAGGTTTGTTTGAAGACACCCCACAATGTTCGCACAACTGTGAAGTCAGGTAACAATGAATTTCTCGGAATGTATCCCCTTGGTTAATGGTTAAGCCCTTACCTTGACAATCACTGCAATCCTGTGTTTAATCCAGAACTAAGAACCTCTACTGTCCTCCTGACAGCCGTCCTGAAACAATGGCACCCTCTTCCCCCACCTCCCTGGACCTCCCCTCAGGGTTGACCCGAGTGGGCAGAGGGTCCAGGCCCCAGCTACAGGGGCCTGAATGGCCAAGGGCAGGGACCTTGGGACAACCTGTCTACAAAGCAAGGGACTTGGCCTGGTTATCTCCAGCCTCCCCCCATCCCCCCATGTCCTCCCTCCCCGCTGCTTTCTGGGAGTCCTATGACTTGCTGTGTGACCTTCGGGGCCAGGAGGAAGGGTTGAGAATTTGGGCGAGGCTCTCAAAGCTCAGGAAGGAAGGTCCGATGATTGCTGCTTAAAATAATAAATTAGCTGAGTTGCTGCTAAAAAAAATTTTGTTTAAAAGCATAAACCAATAGAAAATAAAATCTAGACCGGGCTCGGTGGCTCAGCCTGTAATCCCAGTACTTTGGGAGGTGGAGGTGAGAGGACTGCCTGAGCCCTTGGGTTCGAGACCAGCCTGGGCAACTTGGTGAGACCTCGCCTCTACAATAAATAAAAAATTACTTGGGCGTGGTAGTGCGCACCTGTAGTTCCAGCTATTTGGAAGGCTGAGGTGGAAGGATTGCTGGAGCCTAGCAGGTTAACCTTGGGGTGGCTGTGAGTGTGCCACTGTACTCCAACCTGGGCGATGGAGTGAGACTCCAACTCAAAAAAAAAAAAAAGAAAAGATAACCTAGTGACCAAGAGTCCACCTCACTGGTGGGGTGAAGAACTCACGGGTTCTTCTGGCCTGGGCTGGAGGGCAGGAGGAGGTGGGTGTGTCTTGATGGCAGATGCATGTGGGAGAGACTTCACCTGGCATCTTTGCTGCATCCCATTCCAGCACAGCCCTGGCTCGGATGCCTGCCCAGCCCTTCCCATGATCCTCTGGGGGAAGAGAGCTGACCTTGGTGGGTGCCTGCTAGGTGCTGAGTGCTTTCACTTAATCCTCCCAGTTCTTCTCCAAGGAAAGTTCCATGCTCCACATTTTAGGACCGAGGAAGGTGGAAGTCACGCAACTCCTGGGTGCAGGGGGGCTGGAATTCCAACATCAGTGACTCCAGGGTCCAGGCAGCTGGCGGGAGTCCAGGCGGAGTGCTGGAGCTCAGGGCTGCTAGCCTGGGAAGGCTGGGTGTGGCCCCAGTGCCCTGCTGAGAGCCTGCCAGGGCCTAGTGGGTTGGGCTTCAAAGCCCCTCTGTGGGCACGGCTAGCCCCTTTGAGGAACTCAGCTGTGCACCACAGAGGGCAGGAGGTAAGGGAAGTGGCCTTCTGCCTCAGTTTATCTCCTTTCTCCTCCATTTCGGCCCCAGCCTGACCCTAATAAGCAGCTCCCAAACACCCGGCCAGCAGCCTCCTCCAAGACCTCACCGTCATCTCATCTCCCAGCGAACCTCATGATCAGCCTCAGCCCCAGTCTCAGCTCCTGACCGGCTGCCTCCATTCTGATCTCTGTAATCCCAACTCCGAGTCAGACCCGGGTGCTGGTCTCCAGGGCACTTTCGTGACGACCCCACTCTCCCTTTCAAACCTTCCTGAAACCCTAACATCATTCCCTGTCGTGGTCACTCCTTGCCCCACCTGACCCGTCATTCCTGAGAAAGCGAGGCTGTGTCGGACACAGGGCAGAGCCCCCGGAGCTCTCTGTCTAGGGGGCTCCCGTGGGTCTCTGGGCCCCCTCCAGGTGTGCTGTGGTCAGACCCTGACTTAGAGGCTAATTCCCTGGGGAGGGCAGAGGGCCTGTAGGGGTGAGGAAGCCTCTTGGATGTCATGCTTGTTGAAAATTAGTCCGGTTGCCAGCTAGGAAGGAGTCCATTCTGTTTTGTTAGGATGTGGTTGTACTGAAAACACGGGCTTTGTGAGCGGGACCGGAAACGTGTGGGTGAGAGCTGGATCATGACAGGAACTCATCTGGGCTGAGGGCAGCCTGTGCTCCCTCACCTTCAGCTTTCCCCTGGACAGGGGCAGGGCTCATCCTGGCATTCGGGCCCTAAGAGAGGGAGACCTCCTGCAGGGGCTGGGGGAGGCAGGACACAGTGGATGGGTGGCAGAGTGCCCGGAGGGGGTTGCAGCCCTGCAGGCTGGCCCTGGTTCTCCCTGGGAACCCCGCTCAGCCGGCCTATTTTGAGACCTCCTCCCTGGATACTTTACGGAGCACCTGCTGCCGCTACCCCCCACCACCCAGGGGAGAATTGTCCCGAATGGGATGCCCAGTCCCAAGCCGCCAGACTCTTGGTGCTGGGCTTCTGGGGGGCCCGTAGGATGGAGACCTGGCCCCTCCTCCTGATTCAGCTTCACCCAGACCCCTTGGGAGATAGTCCCAAGATACAGAATCCCAGACTGTCTGAGCTGAAATGGCTCCCCAGGCCGGCTGCACATTAGAGCCATCCAGGAAGCCTGTTAAAAACGCAGAATCCCTCCCTCCCTGGATCTTTCACTCCACCAGTCCCCGGGGAGTTCATTTTACAGGTGGGGAAACTGAGCCCTGAGGGTCCTGGCTGCCCAGCATGTGTGGATCCAGTGCCTTGTCCTCAGAGGACTTGGGGCCCCCCCCCGCAGGCACCACCGTTTCTGAATCTTTCTGGAGTCTCCCCCCACATGCTTTTTGAGGTGGGGGTGTGGGTGAAACCTCTGGAAGATAAAGCTGGGGAACACCGGGAGAGTCCACAGACTGCCCTGCAGCGCCACCTTCTGGTAACTACTGGCATTGTTTTATTGTGGCGCTCCATCTTTCTGTACTCTAGGAGTTGAATTTGCCCCTGGTCCAGTGCTTGGTTTGACTCAGGAGTTAGGATGTGGCTGGGGTAATGCTGTGTGCAGTGGGCTCGAGCTCTGGTGGGCCACCTTAGAAAGAAATATTGTCTGGGACGGAGTCAGTATTTTTGGCCCGAGGTCCAGCCTGGTGGCATAAGAATTCATGGCACCGTGAAGGCTGAGGTCAGCTTTTCAAACGCCAGGATCCTGACAACAGTGGCAGTGGCTTTCCGGGAAACACGGCAGGTGGCTGGACCCCCAGGGGCTGTGTGGGCAACTTTTTGTATGTTTTCCTGGATGATCCACAACATCAAAGCAACAAAGGCGGCAATAAGTGTTGGACAACACTTACGAATGACAGCGGTCCTGGACCATGCACAGTACCACCATTGCACAGAGATAAAAAGTAATGTGCTTAACGCAACACAGTGACATTAATGAACTCATCTGGAAGGTGTATTATCCGCTAGGCTCATTTAATCTTCCTGATACCCATCTGATGCAGGTACTATTCACAGCCTCATTTGGAGGCTCAGAGAGGAAAAATCACTTGTCCAAGGTTGTATTTGGTTAGTAGGTGGGTGAGCTGGGATTTGAACCAAGGATCAGGTGCCAGAGCCCATGTTGTAACACCTCCATCCCCTACCGCCCAGGCGTCCCCGGGTCTTGCTGTGCCTCACCTGGCACCTGTACTCAATTCTAGGGCTCTGGAGGCCACGGGCATGATGCTTCGGGTCCTGGTGGGGGCCGTTCTCCCTGCCATGCTCCTGGCTGCCCCACCACCCATCAACAAGCTGGCGCTGTTCCCGGACAAGAGTGCCTGGTGCGAAGCCAAGAACATCACCCAGATCGTGGGCCACAGCGGCTGTGAGGCCAAGTCCATCCAGAACAGGTGGGACCCGGGAGCAGGTGGGGGGACGAGGAGGGGGCCTAGGAGGGAGGAGGAGGACCAGGGTGCCTCCCCTGCGGTGACACCGGCGTGGCAACCTCTCCTCCCGCAGGGCGTGCCTGGGACAGTGCTTCAGCTACAGCGTCCCCAACACCTTTCCGCAGTCCACAGAGTCCCTGGTGCACTGTGACTCCTGCATGCCAGCCCAGTCCATGTGGGAGATTGTGAGTACCACCGGTATAGGGCCTGCCCAGCCTCGGCCCGGAGCCTGCCCCGGCCTTGGCCTTTCTCCAGGCTTCTGCATTACAGCAGGTGGCCACAGTGCTTGGCAAGGCCTCCCTGCGTGCAGGGTGCAGGCCTGGGATACAGATGTGGTCCTTGCCACGGGATGGCTCACAAGTCTGACAGCACTGTGTGCAGGACGGGGGTCCTTCTGATGGCACTCGTGGGCTGAAAGCCTCTCGGTGGCAGCTTCCTGTCGTTCTAGGATGAGAACCAATCTTTGCCACGTCCACAAGCCCAGCATGGTCCGACTCCCCAGCCTTCTAGCTTCGTCCTGCCTCTTGTATTCCTTCCTAGCTCCAGACTTGACACTGACTCGCCTCCTTTCGGTCCCTTGTGTCTTTTCAGCACCCTACCATCACAGGACCTTTGCACAGGCTCTTTTCCCTGCTTGGAATGCCTTTCTTCTCATCCTCCTCCTCACCTAGTGAACTTCTGTTCGTTCTCCTGCTCTTGGCTCAAGTGTCATCTCCTCAGGTCCCCTTTCCAGACCCCTGACTGGGTCACATCTCTGTCCTCCCAGAGCACTGCGTGCCTCCACTTTGAGTATCTGTCATATCTGCTGTCTTCCACCTGCATCTGGGGAACTTTGACAAGTCTCTTTCCCCCGCTAGACTCTGATTTCCTTGAGGGACCATGTCTGTCCTTGTGTCCCCAGGGCTGGCATGGGGTGGGTGCTCTGTGGAAGGAAGAAAAGGAAGGATGGGCAAAAGGTGGGAGGAAGGAGGGAAGCTAGATGTGATGACAGTAGAAGAGCAAGAGGAAAGGCCAGGCGTGGTGGTTCACACCCGGAATCCCAGCACTTTGGGAGGTTGAGGCAGGAGGATTGCTTGAGCCCAGGAATTCAAGACCAGCCTGGGCAAGAGAGCAAGACCCCATCCCTACAAGTGATTAAAAAAAAAAAAAAGCTGAGCATGGTTGTATGCGCCTGTAGTCCTAGCTACGTGAGAGGCTGAGGTAGGAGGATCACTTGAACCCAGGAGTCTGAGGCTGTGGTGAGCCGTGATCGTGACACTGATTTTTAGCTTGGGTGATAAAGTGAGACCCTGGTAAAAAAAAAAAAAGGCAAATGGAGCTGGGCCTGGTGGCTCAGCCTGTAATCCCGCACCTTGGGAGGCTGAGGTGAGTGGATTGCCTGTACCCACGGGTTCGAGACCCGCCTGGTGAGACCTCATCTCTACAATAAATCAAAAATTAGCCAGGCGTGGTAGCACGTGCCTGTAGTTCCAGCTACTTGGAAGCCTGAGGCAGAAGGATTGCTGGAG